CTGTCCAGTAGCTCCTCATCTTTCTTGAAGTGGGGAGCCCAGAACTGGACACAGTACTCCAGGTGGGGCCTTTGTTCATTAATTTTTCTCTTTGACTTGGTACACTTTCAAACAGCTCTTGCTGTTGTGAGGAGATACTCCTTGGGACACCTCCAAACTGCATTTTGATGTTCTGGATTTAGTAGTTCGTTGAATTTCTTGACAATAACCAGCAGTTGTGACGTCTCTCTCTGTCTGCTTTACAAACCTGAGGATTTTTCAGTCACATTATGTGTCTGACCCTTGCAAAGAGAAGTTACTACTGGGTATGAAGCCCCATCATCTAGCAATAAAGGAGTTCCTGCTCTTCAGTTGAGTAATAGGTACTTGTGATTTTTTTTTTTTTCTGGAGAAGTCTGAAGTTGTTTTGCCTGGGATTTTACACGTGTTCATGGCTTGATGTGTTGTGAATATGATGAACAGAGGCATCTTAGCTGCTGTGAGGCTATCAGAATTTTACAGATTGAGGGAGGAATGGGAAAGAACAGCATGACTGATGGCAATGAGTGTGTCTACAGTGTGGCTCAGAGTCAAGATGGAGATGGACGCTTTGATCAATGTGCTTACTTAAACTGGCAAAAGAAAACTTCAATTCCTGTACTTCTCTCTGTCTCAGAACTGAGAGGCAGACTTGCTAGAGCATTGGGATTTTGAGGTTTGTTTGTGGAATTAGACTGACAGATCACATCATAAGGAAACCATAGTAAATCATATCTCTAAAAAGAAAATTAGCCATCATTTGGAAATATATTAATATCTGAATATTATTATCCTAATTTTCCAGTTCCTGTGGAACGGGAACAGTAATATGGGCTTTAAAATCTGTTCTGCCCAATACCCTATCAGGTAACCTCAGCCTGGTGCCAAAAGGATGCTTATCCGTTAAACTAGTCTCTTTTTTTTTTTTCTCCACCCTCCACTGTATGTTTCTTGTGTGTAGCCTATGAAGTTGTTTGCACTGAGAAGATTTTTGGTACCTATCTTTGTAGTTCAGGGAAGCTGAATACTTTTTGTGGTGTAGTCTTGTAGCTGGCGCTGTGGCTTCAGGCAGGAAGGATGCAGGATCAAGTTTTAAAGCTAAATGTTTAATTTTAGATGATTCCATAAAAGGCAGGCAGGACACATGAGCCTGTTTTTTCCTATTTCTGTTTGGCACCTTAACGAGAAAAAGTTAAATAGAAAAAGATACTTGTCCCCTTTACAAACAGACCTGGAACAAAAGATGTAGTAGTTGTACTTTCTGATAAAGTTGTGAGTTTTAATAAACTATACGGTGACTTTGATTAGATGTGCACTATCTAGTCCTTCTCTTTAATTTTCCCAAGGTCTAATGACCAAAGATTTTTTCAGTTGCTGACCTTGTTCTGCCTCTCTACATCTAATCACTCTTGATTATGCTTGATGTAGAAAGTGAGATTAAAATTGAGAACTGCAAACAAAAACAGAGCAGGTGAGTTGTCAGAGTGAAATATGCGCCCAGCATACGTTGCCAGCACTTGAATTCAGTGAAAGAGCCCTTAGGTATGTGCATGATAGCTTCACCACGTACTTGTGACTAAGTAGTAAATGGTCCTACTGAGTAAAACTGTAGAACATCCAGAAATTAATTTTATTTAGGTCTGGAAACAGTCCCTGAAGTTTTTCAGGGCAAAGAGCTTGTTTCTTGTCTATCAAGACCATGCACAAACCTTCTGCTGTTCTGCTAGCAGCGTGGTGCAACACAGCTGTCCTCTCACTTCAGTCCAGGAGAGATGGTCTGGAAAAGACACTTTGCAGCAGACTGTATATATTAAATAAGTTCCTGAACTCTCTTTGACACAAAGCAGATATAATTACATGGCGTGGAGTAGCTGGATCCTGCAGGTTGAGGGTTTGGCTTTGCTGAGCTGCCCGGAGGAGTCTGCCTAGCAGCTGGGTCACTCTGTTAGCAGGGAGTGCTTGGATTTGTGTGTGATTTGCTGCTTTTTAACACGTATTTGCAGGTGTTCTCAAAGCAGGAGATGTGGAGGGTTGGTTCCTGGAGCATCTGAGGTTTGGCAGAGCTGTCAGTGGAGAGGCGGAGGGGTGAGCAGAGGTGTTCAAGCCAGCAGATGTCAGGCTGTTACTGCCAGCGAGGAGCAGTGTGAAAGGGAAGCATGATGCTTTGTGCTGACAAAGTCAAAACTGGCAAACTACAGGTCATCTTCAGCTGATGAGCAAGAGTAGTGATGATTTGTGAGTATGTGGTAATTAAGCAGCATAGCTCATCTGGAGTAGTTTTGTGTTTTGGTTTGGTTTTTTCATCTTTTATAGTAAAAGCCTGTGTGGGTATTCCAGAATAAGATTGTGCCCACGCAGGGAGCTACCTTGTAGGAGGGGTAGTGCATATAAAGCAGTGTGAATGAAAGCTGAAAAATTGACCTTAGGAACTGAAGTTAAGTTTCTAATGAGGGAATAAAGCTAACACTGTGGGGTTTGGGTTAAGAGGTATGTGTAGGCTTGCAATATTTATAGGGCAGTGGAAAAAATTGGGGAGGATACGTGAGTTAGTGAAAATTGCAAGGAGAGAAGGAGAAGCACTCCATAAAACTGTCTGAAAAATCTGTCAATAGCACAAGAAGTACAGAGAATTAGTATTTTCTAAGAATTAAAACAACTCCTACTTTCTAACAAGAATCTGTATAAATTTCAATCTTATGCCAAAAGGAGGGGAGAAGGAAGAGGTGGGGTTTTTGTTGTGGGTGTGTGGGGGTTTTTTTAAATTTTTTTAAAGAAATTATAAGACTAGTAAGGAATTTTCAAAGACTCAAAATGTTTCAGGACAATGATTCTTTTTACTTGTTGATACAGTTTTATTACCACGGATACTTTGCTATCCTTCAGCAGATTTGTCTGATTTTGTAAATATATTTAGAATATCTCACGTTAGGTATGATACTATAAAGAGGACATGGATGTTTTTTATAGCTGAAAACAACATTTCTCCTTCAGTGTATACACCTATAATCTTGTCTGGTTCTATCATAAAGCAGAAGAATTTTGATGTATTAGGAATCTAAAAATATGAATTAATTCAATGTCATTTTTTTATCTTAGTAAAACTTTCTTGCTTTTCTTTTTCAACTGCAAAGTGACTGTCAGCACTTGCGCTGGACTCCATGATCAATTTTAGGTTTCTGAACATGTTGTTATTCCTTGGTCTTACAGATTGATCACTTTGGATTTGATGAAGATCTCACCTTCCAGCAGCGGTATCTAGTAGCAGATCAGCACTGGAAGAAAGACAATGGACCAATATTATTTTATACAGGCAATGAAGGAGACATCACATGGTTCTGCAACAATACGGTTTGTAGAAAATAGGTTCTTGAATTACAGTCCTGCTTTCCAGTAGTGGCCTACTGAAAAATAAGAAAGAACAGGGACACAGTGTCAGAATATCATTTAAACAGAAGTGTGTAATGGTTGTTATAATTGTTATAGGAGGAAGAGGAAGCTGGAAAAAAGTACAGAAAAAGTTTTAGGGGGTTCAGGGTCCCATTTGAAGCACATAAAAATCAAAGGGACACACCTGTATTAACTTCCTGGAGTAGTGAAGAAAACTCTGGAAGATGCCTCAAGCTAAGAATTCAAAGTTTTGGACCAAGTTACAGCTATCCCAGTGCTTTAGATTCCCGAACTACAATGGGAGGTTTTGATGTTTGGGGTTTTTTTTCCCTCCATAAGAAAAGTGTGAAGTGAAGGGGCCTGGAAATCAAAGATAGATGATGCTTGTTCTCTGGCAAGCCTTGTGGAAGTTTTTACTTCCCTGACTGATACAAATGCCGAGTGGCACGTGCGGGCATTTTTCAGCTGCTTCCATACAAAGTCCGGTAACACAACAGGAGGTGACATGTGCTGGGCTCAAAGCAACCAAGGACTGCTTACACACTTTGTGCTGTCAGCAGGTGATATCTGTCTGCCCGTTCCCTTACAGAATCACAGAATGTTTGGGGTTGGAAGGGACCTCTGTGGGTCATCTAGTCCAACCCTCCTGCTGACGCAGGGTCACCTACAGTAGGCCGTAGAGGACGAATATCTCCAGAGAAGGAGACTCCACAACCTCCCTGGGCAGCCTGTTCCAGTGCTCCGTCACCCTCAGAGGGAAGAAGTTCTTCCTCATGTTCAGACGGAACTTCCCGTGCTTCAGTTTGTGCCCATTGCCCCTTGTCCTGTTGCTGGGCACCACTGAAAAGATCTAGCTGCTGTCAACAAGCTGTAGTTATTTACTAGTTGCAAATAAGTGTATTGCAATGCTCTAGACTATTGTTAATAAACCAAGCAAATTTCATGTTTTCTGTAATGTATTCCTAACTCAAATGCATGCTTTTCCTCTGTGGTGTTTTTCATTTCCTATGGATTAAGCTTGTGCGATAGGAGTTCTGGCAGGATTGCCTGTATGTACTCAAAACAATACTGCTTAGTATTTTTGAGCACTAAAATATAAACACTTTCTTTGTGTCCCTGTCTCTGGGTAGATATCTGTTTTGTGTGCTTTCTTACTTCAGTGATAGTTAAAACCAAATTGCACTCTGTCTCTGGAGTTGTGTTTTGATAGTGATATAATTCTAATCAAAGAATGAGTTGAATACACTAGACTGAAAGTAGAGACTTTGAGAATAATTTATTCAACTTATTTAAATGTCTGTTTTCCTCCAACCAGGGTTTTATGTGGGATGTGGCTGAAGAACTTAATGCAATGTTAGTATTTGCTGAACATAGATATTATGGAGAATCTTTGCCCTTTGGGAATGAGTCTTTCAGCGTAAGTCTTGTCTTTTGTCTTCCTTAAATGCGTTCTGTGTAACGTAATTCTGCCTATTGTAACTGTTGCCAGTGCAATGACTGTTAGCCAGAGTATGATTTAGATGTGCTAGAAGCACACAACTGTCCTATTTTTGTAACTATGAATTCCAGGATTAAAAAAAAATAATTATATTTTCTAGTACTTCAAGGGTCACCTGCAAAGAATGTCATTTGTTATCAGGCACAGATTTAGAACTCAACAGCTGCTGGAAATCACTCCTGTGCTGTATATAACCTGTGTTCTTTGTCTCAGGATTCCAAGCATCTGAATTATCTGACATCAGAACAAGCTCTGGCAGACTTCGCAGTACTGATTGAGTACTTAAAGACAACTATTGCAGGAGCCCGTTACAGTCCTGTCATAGCTATAGGAGGATCTTATGGAGGAATGCTTGCAGCCTGGTTTAGGATGAAGTATCCCCATGTGGTAGTTGGGTGAGTGTACTCATCCTGCTCAAACACAGAGCAGGCATTTGTTACTTCTGTACTATAAATATAACAGCACGCGGAGAAGTACCATAATTCAAGGTCGCTTGAAATTTTCAGTATTGGGAGGAGGAATTAAGTTACCTTGAATTTGGGAAGAGGCGCTGTTTTCCTAATAAAGCAACTGTAGGTCAGCAGGTGCTGGATGGGGTATATTTTCAGATCTATCTGTTACTTTTGTAAAAGCAACTATTATGAACACTGACTTTGCACCTAACTTAGGGACTCCAAACTTTCTGGTGACTTGAGGCAGGTCTTTAATTCTTCAGTACCTTAGTTTCCTTCTGGGAAACAAGATTAGTAAATAGAATCAGAGAACAGTTTGGGTTGGAAGGGACCTTTAAAAGTCGTCTAGTCTAACCCCTCTGCAATAAGCAGGGACATCTTCAGCCACATCAGGATACTCAAAGCCCCATCCAATGTGGCCTTGAACACTGTCAGGGAGGGGGCATCCACCAATTCTATGAGCAACCTGTGCCGGGGCCTCACCACCCTCACAGTAAAGAATTTCTTCCTTATATCTAATCTAAATCTCCCCTCTTTCAGTTTAAAGCTGTCACCCCTTGTCCTATCCCTATAGGCCCTTGTAAAAAGAGTCCCTCTCCAGCTTTCCTGTAGGCCCCCTTCAAGTACTGAAAGGCCACAGTAAGGTCTCCCTGCAGCCTTCTCTTCTCCAGGCTGAACAGCCCCAGCTCTCCCAGTCTTTCCTCACAGCAGAGGGGTTCCAGCCCTCGGATCATTGCTGTGGCCTCCTCTGGCCCCGCTCCAACAGCTGCAGGTCTGTCCTCTGCTGAGGGCTCCAGAGCTGGACGCAGAACTCCAGGTGGGGGTCTCACCAGGGCGGAGCAGAGGGGCAGAATCCCCTCCCTCATCCTGCTGGCCACGCTGCTGGGGATGCAGCCCAGGACACGATTGGCATTCTGGGCTGTGAGCACAGATTGGTGGCTCATGTCCAGCTTTTTGTCCACCAGTACCCCCAAGTCCTCCTTGGCAGGGCTGCTCTCCATCCCTTCATCCCCCAGCCTGTATTAATACTGGTGGTTCACATGGGCCCACTTCTCCAGCTTGTCCATGTCCCTCTGGATGGCATCCTGTCCCTCAGGTGCATCAACCACACTTGCTGAAGTAGATTTTTGTGGGCAGGGGTTGTCTTCAGCTGAGTTGGCACAATGCCTAGTGAGAAAGTCCTAGCTGCTAGATGAGAATGAAAAATAATAAAGTAAGCAAGTCTAAATTTATACTTTATGTATTTACTGATATCTTTATACTACAGTCCAAGACCTACAACCTTCAGCAGTGTTTGCATGCAGACCTATGGAGTAGTTTTTCAATGTTGTGGTTAGTTTGCCTATGGCTCAGTGTCCAAGCTGAATTATAAAGGCTACTTAGATAGTGGCTGTGGGGAGGGTATTGACCAGAGGACAGAAGTTCACTTTGTAGGGGTTCAGGATGTGTATGTTCTTCAAAACAATCTTTTTATGTCCCTTTGCAGAGCTCTGGCAGCCTCTGCCCCAATCTGGCAGTTTGGTGATTTGGTTCCGTGTGGTGCTTATTTCAGCATAGTGACTAATGATTTCAAAAAGAGTGGGACAGGCTGCTCAGAAAGCATCCGGAATTCCTGGAACGCCATTAACCACCTTTCCTCAACAGGTGAGACCTCACTAATACTTTTTCAGAACCTCAAGGCTTGTATTGCTTTCTGACAAGTAGAGCCAGACAGTTGTTACTCTAAAAAAAGTAGTTTAAATATCAACAGAGGTGATCAGGTATAGAAAATCACTGCAATCCTTATGGATTCAGTGCTAGGGGCTCAGCTGATCTTGATCTTAAGGGTCTTTTACAATGTAAATGATTCTATGATTCTGTAGCTACCTGAAAGGAGGTTGTAATGAGGTGGGTATTGGTCTTTTTCCCAGGTAACAAGTGATAGGATGAGAGGAAATGGCTTCAAGTTGTGCCAGGGGAGACTTAGATTGGATATTAGGGAAAGCTTATTCATTGAAAGGATTGTCAAACATTGGAACAGGCTGCCCAAGGAAGTCACCATCCCTGGAGGTGTTTAGAAGACATGTAGACGTGGTGCTTAGGGATGTGGTTTAGTGGTGGGATTTGACAGTGTTGATTTGACAGTTGATGGCTCGACTCAATGATCTTAAGGGTCTTTTCCAACCTAAACAATTCTATGCTTCCTTATTGGATGAGCTCACTGTACAGCAGAGGAATTCAATTTAAAAAAAAAATAATCTTGTTGCTTGAATTCAGTGTCCCAAAGAGGTATGTCCTGGTATGATGACTTAGCTAATTAAAATCAGGGAAGCTGAATTGGATGAGTTCTAGACCAGATAAAATAATGAAAGAAAAGGTCAGGAGAGTCCCAAGAGAAGTATCTATTAAGAGGCCTTGCACTGTGAGCTAGCTGGTTTGAAGTTTTCGTTTCATTGGAAGAAGGGCGCCCTGATGTTACTTCCTATCAAAGAAATGCCAAATGTCTTGTAAATCTGTCTCTCTTTTTTTTTAGATAATGTTGTCTTAGCTGTGACATACCCATACACTGAAGTATGGATATTGTATTTCCCTTCACTTCGAGGTGCTGACTAAAATTTGATCTGCTATGCTTGTATGCAGGTGGAATAACTTCACCAGATTATTTACACAAAGTGAAATATTTTTTAGCAGCAGCACAACTGACATGTGTTACAGTACGTTAAATGTTATTTTATTTTTTATTAAAGATGCAGGTTTACAGTGGCTTTCCAGCACATTTCACTTGTGCAGCCCATTAAAAAATCTCCAGGATGCTGCTATATTGAAAAGCTGGCTGAGTGAAACATGGGTAAACTTGGCTATGGTGAACTATCCCTATAAAGCTGACTTCTTACAGCCTCTGCCAGCTTGGCCTGTACAGGTAATTGAGAACCAGTGTCTTGCAGAATTGAGCATTTGGTTTAACTAATTCTCTCCTTCTCTCCCAGTCTGCACCTTTTCTTTTACTTCTGGCTCTGTAGAACCAACAAGGCTGGAAAAATAAAGGAGAAGCAGGGCAATGTCTTCTTGTGCATGAACTGGTTTGTTGACTGTCTGTGAATTGTAGGGCTAAGAGGCTGCATCAAGAGCCCAGAAGAAGAAAAGTGTCAGGGTGACTGAAAAATCTCAGCTGTCCTGCAGAGTTGTTCCTGAGGAACAGAAATGCTACGCAAAAAGCACGTACAATTAGAGCTTCTGATGCCAGGTTTAGGTGTCAGAGCTTGCAATGAAAAAGAAAGCTTTGAGCCTATGACCTTTTTGGTGTGAGAGGAAATGCGGATCGCCACAAATGTATTCCTTGAGGGTCATTTCTCAAAGCAGAACCACTTTTCACTCTTCCAAACCTTCACTTGTGCAGTTCTGTCTATCTCCAGTGCTTTCTCCAAGATTTCTATTTTCCTGGAGTGTTTTTGGTCTTTTAAGACCCTGGCTGTATTTCTCTGCATGGCTTTGGGTTGCTGTGTATGGCAGGTAAGGTGGACAACGTATTAGTGTATTTGGCTATTAAACAGTAGTTTAAAAAAAAAAAATTCCCTTGTGTGGAGCTGCCTGATGGAGGAGGGGAAGGACATTTATCTGTCCTATGTGGCTGTCTGCAAAGGGCAGTATGAACACCTTGAAAATTATTTCTGCTTTATTATCAATCTGACACAACCGAAGAAACGTGCTCACATTCACCACTGTCCATGCTGTCTGTTTGAGGTATAAACCCAAAACAGAACAGGTTGCAGTTCGTCTGGACAATGCTGATGTATGAAATCTGAGTTATTTAATCTGTTCAGATACTTTTTATGAAACAGAAGCTCTAGTCTGACTATGAGGCTTAGAAAGGGGTGAAAAATGTGTTTGAGTAGCTGGATCTATATGTATGTTGCTTAATCTGTTCTTTGTTGTGGGTTGCCAGTAATTTATCAGAAATATTAATCTCTTGTCCCTACCATGCAATCTGAGCTTCAGATACAGGGCTGTCTGCAGCCCTCTGTTCTGATACTTGTCTGCAGTGTATATTGCATGAATTAGTGAGCTTTTCAAGCCTCTGACTGCGGAGTTAAGAACTCATGGCTGAGCCAGCCAAGCCATAAAACCTGCTTGGAATGGCAACATGTGGAAGCTGTGCTCTGACCTTGTCTGTAGGGAGCAAGGGAGGGATCAGTTTCCTAGCTTCCAAATGAAAATGAGGGGGAAAGATTATACCAGGGAGGGAAGGGTAGTAAGTTCACTGCTTGGAAGATGCACAGTTGGCCATGTGAGTTGGCCCTGTGTGCCTCTGCGCCTGTCCTTGAACAGTGTTGGAGCTGCAGTGCATCCTTTGCTCCCTGCAGAGAGTAATTTTGTATTCTTGCCATGGTCTGGGAGCTCAGTCACAGCTTTTACCCTTCACTGTTTTGTGTTATTCCCAGCTCTGTGGGAGCAGGGGTAAGGAAAATGCTTTGCAGAAGAGTATTGCAAAGAGAATTTTGCAGTGCTGCTATGTAAAAGGACTTAAAAATATTAGAACATTCTTTACATGAATGTTTCCATTTGTACTACAGCAAACTGCAGGGAACCCCAATCTATATCTGAAGGTTTTGTTATATATTTGCATGTGTTATCTTTCATTAGAGGAGCTAAATACTCTTTATTATCTGTTTTAAAGAACAGGAAATGGATTTAAAAGCTTGGTGAATGAAATATTAAGGCTCCACTGTTTTTAAAGTTTTAATCAAGAAATGTAAAGTTTCAGGTTCCTCGGAGTAGCATGCACTGCTTGAATGGAATACTGCTTTTCGTGACAATGCTCGGGTATAGCATTGCATAGAAAGACACTTTCTGGAAGTGGTCTGACTGTACTTTGAGAAGAAATTGATATCCCATGAGGTATCATCTATTAATCTTTATTTCTTGCAGATTTAGACTACCCCCTTCTCTCTTCATTGCAGGAAGTCTGCAAGTTCTTGAAGGATCCCAGTCTCTCTGACAAATTGTTGCTGCAGAGTGTTTTCCAGGCAGTAAATTTGTACTACAATTACTCAGGAGAAGCCTCATGCTTAGACACCTCTGAGACTGCAACGAAGAATCTGGGCCAGTTGGGTTGGTACTACCAGGTACGAGTTCTGTCCTTTCTAAATTGTAACTCTGGGCTTGAGCTGATGAGAATTGTGAAGTCATTTAACTGTCAATATATTGCACCTGATGGAACTGGTGTACTGATGACAAATGTAAGCATGAAGCAAGTATGATTGCAGTGGGGAGGGCAAGGCACAAAAGAGAAGCAGCTTTCTGAGGAGATTTAGGTTGTGTCTTCATTATCTAGCTAATTGTTGAGTTTCAGCTCTTCATAGCGACTGAAAATGATGTACAGCAGCAGCATCTTGGTCTTCTAATCGCCCCATCACAGCTGTCCACCTCAATTGTGCAAGCAAATGTGTCAGGGTATGTTGGTATTAATTTCTTTAAACTAAAGCTGTTTGTCCTGTAGCTCACCAAGACCAACCTTGCTCATCAAGCAGGTAACAAAGCCAGAGATATGTATGGTAAAGGGGTCCAGGACATTCTGCTCTCCCCATCGCATTTACTAAGCACATGCAACACTGCTGTATACAGTCTCTCTCCCAAGGAGCAGGGCAGCTGCTTCCAGCAGCAAGGAGTTATGGACTGGTGTTCAGGTTGTGACCGTCTGCTCTTGGCTGCTGTCTCCTATGTATTTGTTCTGAACAGCCCCAGGAGATGTGCAGGCTTTATAAGTTGTCCTCTGAGAAAGCAGGGGAAACACCATATGGGTAACAAAGAATATGGCAGCTGGGCCCATCAAAACACCACATCCGCTCTGCAGTTTGTTCCCTGCCTGCTTCTGCAGGTGTGTGGGAAAGGGGGCAAGTAGAAACACACTGTGGGTTAGATTAATTGCCATGATGGGGATGATGTTGCTTTCAGGATATAACTTGGTTTTCTTTTTTAGCTAGTATCACTAAGATGCCAGAGAACAGTTTGTATGAAAGATAAAACTTTTGCTTGGTATCTGTCTTCTGGCCCATCTACAAGAAGGGCTGTAAGGAGGATCTGGGGAACTAGAGGTCTGTCAGTCTGACCTCGGTGCTGAGGAGGGTTATGGAGCAGATCATCTTGAGTGCCATCACAGCATGTACAGGGCAACCAGGGGATCAAGCTTAGTGATGCCCTGCTTAGTGGACGAGGGAAAGGCTGTGGATGATGTTTAGCTGGACTTCAGCAAAGACTTTGACACTGTTTCCGACAGTATTCTGGAGAAACTGGCTGCTCATGGCTTGGACGAGTGTACACTTTGCTGGGTAAAACGCAAGCTGAATGGCCGAGCACAGAGAGTGGTGGTGAATGGAGTTAAATCCAACTGGCGGCCGGTCACAGATGGTGTCCCCCAGGGCTCAGTTTTGGATCCGGTCTTGTGTAACATCTTTAACAGTGATCTGGATGAGGGGATTGAGTGCTGCCTCACTAAGTTTGCAGATGACAGCAGGCTGGGTGGGAGTGTCGATCTGCTTGAGGGTAGGCAGGCTCTGCAGAGGGATCTGGGCAGGCTGGATCGATGGGCCAAAGCCAGCTGTATGAGGTTCAACATGGCCAAATGCCAGGTCATGCCCTTGGGTCTCAACAGCCCCATGCAACGCTACAGGCTTGGAGAGGAGTGGCTGGAAAGCTGCATGGAGGAAAGGCACCTCAGGGTGTTGGTCAACAGCCAGCTGAACATGAGCCAGCAGTGTACCCAGGTGGCCAAGCAGGCCAATGGCACCCTGGCTTGTATCAGGAATAGTGTGGCCAGCAGGAGTAGGGAGGGGATCGTGCCCCTGTACTGAGCACTGGTGAGGCCGCACCTGGAGTCCTGTGTTCAGTTTTGGGCCCCTCACTACAAGAAGGACACTGAGGTGCTGGAGTGTGTCCAGAGAAGGGCAACGAGGCTGGTGAGGGGTCTGGAGAACAAGTCTTATGAGGAGCGACTGAGGGAGCTGGGGCTGGAACAGAAAAGGTCCTAAGCATTGGAACAGGCTGCCCAGGGAAGTGGTGGAGTCGCCATCCCTGGAGGTGTTAAAAAACTGTGTATGTGTGGTGCTTAGGGATGTGGTTTAGTGGTGGACTTGGCGGTGTTAGGTTAATGGTTGGACTCAATGATCTTAAGGGTCTTTTCCATCCTAAACGATTCTATGATAGTTTGACAGTAATTACTGATCAATTGCTGTTTGAGCTTTTTTTTATTCAACTACTTCACCAACAGCTGTTGGACAGTCTCCTGGGAATACATCTTGTTGCCCTGCTCTTTCTTTCAGGCTTGCACTGAGATGGTGATGCCCATGTGCACGGATGGTGTCAATGACATGTTCGAGCCTCAGAAATGGGACTTTGATGCGCTTTCAGAAGAGTGTTATGGGCTGTGGGGAGTGAGGCCTCGCCCCTCTTGGATTCTCTCTATGTATGGAGGGAAAAACATCAGCTCACACAGCAACATTGTCTTCAGGTGAGCCTTGTTTCAGCTGGAGTGCAGTCTTCTACCAGTTCAGGTTGTCAGTGCAGAGAGCCTGCCCTGAGTAGCGAGAGGATTGGTCTCCAGTGCTCCAGCTGAATAAATGATGGGTGTGCTTTGTGTTGCTCTTGGCTTCTTCGGCCACTGCAGACTGACCATTTTACTCCCAACTGTTCTGTCACTGCCTATGTGCTTCTAAAAGAAGAATCTGGATTGGGATTCTGCCAAACATAATTTTCTTCCTGTGTGGATTCCTTCTTATCTCGTGGCCAAAGTCCATGTTTCCCATGCTGGTAAGTCCAGCTAGCTTTTGTGAAGCCAAAGCACTGTCTCTTCCACATAAAAGGAAAGTCTAAACAAGCTCTAGCTGTGACACAGGATCTTGGTCACTAAAACTGTTGCTGTGGGCGATAGCCTCAGGGAGGGGCTGTCGTGATCTGGCATTTTTCCCTTTGATAGAGAAATGAGGGAAGTAACTTGGGGAGCTTTCCTATCACTGCCAATTGCCCTTTCCTTTTAGTGGTAATTAGACGAGTTTCAACGAACTTGTGTAAGATCCAATTACAAAGAGATGTTTCCGTTCTAGTAGGGCATACTGGTAATACAACAGAAGTTTGTCTGTAACACCTTTGCATGTGGACAAAGAATGAAAGACATGTTTTGGTCTAGTGTAAAAACTAGTGCATGTTGCTTGCTCTCTGCTCAGCCCTCACTTTCCTTATTTTTAAGGTTAAACTCTGCTTTCTTTAAAGGGAGGTTCATGTAGCTGTAATTCTGTTGTGAGGTGATGTAAATTTTGAACAGCTAAGTACTGGCTGTTCATTAGGTTGTTACGTGTCAGGGAGGTGTTTAATAAACAGATTGAAGGCTGTGCCCTCAGGAATCCTGCCTTGCTGTACTGATTGCCCACCGTGGGCATCTCCTGCATATACTCCTCTGCGCTCTGGTTCAAATTGTGCAAGACCTTTTTTAAAAAAACAACAAACCACCAGTTCTTTAAACAAAAATCAGAATTAGTCTGTTGGACTTGGTAAATAGGTGTGTATTTTAAAAGTAAGAAGTCCTCACTTGAATTGGGGATTATTCTCTGGTTTTCAGCTGTTAGCATTGGTCTGTTTAGCCCCAAAGGCCTGTTGCTTTCCTCGTTTGCCTCTTACTGTTTCTGTCCCAGCAGGATATCTGTTCTAGAGTGAGAAATTCCATGCTCTTTTGGAAAACTTTAATAAAAACTTTTAATAAAAAAAAAAAAAAATACTGGTTTAACTTAATTTCTACAGAGTGGTGCTTATTTCCAAGACTTCACAGCTCTGTACAGTGGAAATCCACTTTGTAAGTGATAGACAAGCAAACAAATCTAAGTGTTTCAGAATTTATGCCAGCTGAAGGAGCTTGAAATGAGAAACGCTTGAAAGCCACCAAATGAATGAAGGAGTAGTGCTGTACACACAAAGCTTTGGATCTCAAGCTGGGTTGTTTCTCTTCAAACAAATACATTGTCAACACTGTACATTCTATAGAAGAGCCCTTTATCCTTGAACACTGCAGAGTGCTCTACAAAAAATATCCCTGTGTTTACCAGGGGATGCGGCTCCCTGTGGGGTAAAAACCACTGTTTCAAGTGTCAGGCAACTTGCACAACAGTTCAGCGCAGGAAGGAAAGGATCCTCCCTCTCAACAGAACCGCTGTAGGGTGGATTTATCCAGCCGTGGAGGGATTTGGCCAGGATGCCTGAACTGGTGTTTAAACTCTCTGCAGACTGACACTGTGCTGTATGTATTGGGTGGTATTGATGCAGGAGTCGCCATTGCCACCCTGGTACCTGCTTGGAGGTGTGCAATTAGTGTGCGAGTGCTTACTTAGGCTGTGGGCAGGTATTACATGCTTGTGCTGGGCACCACATCTTTATTAAAACACTAGCTTAAGGAAACTGGGATTTTCAGAACCCTTTGCCAGCTCACTTCCAGCAGTTTCCAGTCCTGGTACTGTTTCTTGGAACATGCTCTGTACTTGGTGTGGAGGTGCTGCACAGTGGTGGAAACAGCATTTTAATACTCTTCATGCATGTGGTGGCAGAGAGCTTGTAGCAGTTGGTAGTGTCTCATAGTCAACATACTGTGGTAGACAAAATCAGCCCAGGTTCTATCAGACGGTATGGCATTTTGTGTGCACAGTCTGAAAATTCAATTGTTTCAGTCTGGATGGATCACACCTGGGTTGTATGCTTTGAAGTTAGGGCACCCACCAGTCCCGTTCTGCACTAGCAGGGGAGAGGCACAAAGTGAAGGCTCTGTTCTGAGAGATACTGGAGCTATGCGCAGAAGCGGGGACTGTTAGCATAAAAGAAGGGAATGAGGAAAAGAGGAGAAGGCAGAATAATGCCTGGCTGAAGAGAAGCAGCAAGAGAAAAAAGTTAAGAAGAGGAAACTTGGCAGTTGTGGAGAGTTGGCATTGTAAAGGCTGCACAGCCAGTGCTGCTGAGATTTGTGTAAAACCTCTCCTTGTTCTGGGCAGGGCTGGAGGGCTGCAGAGGCTCTGAAGAGATGGTAGGGAAGGGAGCTGCTTGGGAAAGGGAACATTGGGAAACTTCCGTCCTGTAAGACGAGCAGCGGAGGCACTTGTATACGTGCTTAGTTTTAACACATAAATAATCCATTCCAGTTGGTACCTAACTATCTTATTCTGTTAAACTGGTTAGACTTATGACTATTTTGTGGTGAGCCCTCCATGCCCCCCTCCTCTCAGCAAGTATCGCTTCCCAAACTGCGTCAGTGCCGCTGGTGCGTCATTTGGCAGGAGCTACGGACGACGTAGCCAGGAGCTCCAAGAGAAGCCAGAGACAGCGTTGTTTTCTTGTGGCATGCTTCGTTTCCACGTGACTGGGACCAAAAGATCCTGGACTTGGATCATCTTGGGTCTCTCAGCAACTCATCCCCCTGTTGCCAAGGTGCTGTGCTGATTCAGGCGACCTTTTAAATCCAGTGCTTTTTGCTTACTGGGCAGCTCTGTATGGTTTTTGTTTTGCCAACACAAAATATTTCTCTTCTCCTAAGTCATATTTAGAATCGTTCTGAAAGAACTATAGAGATCCAAGATACCTGTTTTTTTCAATAGAGAAATGAAGTATTATTTCAGATCCCATCAGGTTTTTACTCTTAGTTATTTCTACAAAACTTTTTGACTCATTATTTCTTTCTGCTATTTTCTGGTACTGTGATACTTTTCTAGCTACGTATCTCTTAATGTCTAAGGATGTTTTAATTTCTTAGACCCTCCTAGAAATTTACACTGACATGCAGTAGCCCATCTCTAATATTTCCTTTTGTGGACAGGTCCAGTGTTTTAAGTGAGGAGCAGATCTCGATCTGCGTAGTTCCATAAGTATATGGATGTGGATTTCTCTGTGCAGAAACATGAACCACATGTGGGAAGAACATTCTGGTAGTGGAAAATAAGATGTAGGGATTACTGGGTCAAGTCTGAAGTTAGGACTGAGACATGAGAAACTCTCGCCCCATTGGCTTGATCCATGGACCAGGCGTTATTTGGAGCCAGATCTTCCGTGCAAGGAATGCTTTCATTGATTTGACATGAGGGAGAAGGGGGAGTAAATTGCGTTAAGTTCTCCTGTCACGGAGGAAGCAATTTTAGACAATTTCTTGAGTGATAAAAGCTTTACTTTAATATGGTTCGTGTTACAAATAAGAGGACTAATGAAATGTCCAAGTATTTCTTTGCAAAACCAGGCTGGCACACAGCTTAGACAGCAAAAGGTGGAATGTCCTGAAAATTCAGCTCTGAAGGGTCCAGTTGGTTATTGGTTCATGGCAGACTGAAGAAGGAAAGTGAAGTGCTTTGATTTGGGAATTTGGACATCTCGGGACCGGGGAACCTGAACCTTTATGACAATGACAACAGGCAGCAGATCTGTCTCCAGAGGCTGTGGCACTGTTAAAGGTTATTGTCTGAATTAGCAGATAATTAACGACAGAAGCATAGCTTTGCTCACTGCCAGTAGCTCCATAGCTCTGTCCAGAAGGCTCCCCTCAGCAGAGGGGTGGGCACAAGACCTGGAGAAAGGGCTGAGGTCTGTTTCTGTGGGTACATATGCAAAACTAGTTACAAGTCAGTGTGGATGCATCGATGTGAGCGGCAGCCCCACTGCCGCCTGCTGTGCAGGGGTACCCTAACGAGGTGTTCTCTCCTTACAGCAACGGTGGCCTGGACCCGTGGTCTGCAGGTGGAGTGACCGAGAACATCACTGATTCTCTCGTGGCGATCTTGATCCCGGATGGAGCCCATCACCTGGACCTACGCAGCCGCAACCCTGGGGACCCCAAATCTGTGCAGCAAGCTCGAGCCTTGGAAATCCGCTACATGAAGCAGTGGATTGAGAAGGCCGGGCAGAGCCACTGAAGTTGTACTGTGACAACTGCGGCCATTATACCTCCGCTGGCTTTGCTGGGAGCAGGGCCAGGCCTTACGCGTGGTCACCCGAACATTTCACTCCTGCTTCCTCACCTGCGTTGCAGTGCTAACCATTGCTTGTGCTGTGAGAGAAGCAGGCAGCAGATGGATGGAGAGTGTTACCAGATACTAAAATAAGTCAAAGTGCATGGATTGAGCTGCCTGCTCTGGCTTGCTTTCTTCTTCTGCTCTGCTCAAATGCTGCACTTTATGGTAAAGAGTTCCTGTTCTTGGCTTGATGCCTTCCTCTCTGTGCCAGGTGACTGTCCTGACTGCTGGTACATCCAGGGCAGTGCTGTTCGTGATGAAACTCCCGCTGCCTTCCATGGGACTGACTTTTGGGCATCCTCAGCTGGTGTAAACTGCCATGGCAGGGGCATGGAGGTGAACTTGGGGGAACAGAAATCACATCGTACGTGATGTTGGATGGAGAGGTAGGGAAGGCATGGGGACACTGGCTGTCCTGTTTGTAAAGAAACTAAACAGCCCTTACCCTTTGGAATCAATGCTGGCAAAGTAGTAAATATTTTTATTTCTTAGTTTTCTGGCAGCTTAGTAATCAAAGCTGCCTTAGGTGGCTCTTCCCTTCTGCGCTGTACTGACTGGTCGGGGCTGGGCCCAGGCTCACTCTGCTGATAACTGGCTGAGCGCGCGCAATCTGCATCAGGGTTTTATTTCTTCCTTTGCTGTTTGTCCTAATCCTGAAATACCTGCCACTGTGACAATAGTTGCCAAAGAAAGCTCTGGGTATATTTTGTGTGTGTGTATATGTGTGTATCCCCCCACAAACACTTTGCTTTTTCGAGTCAGGAAGCTTTTGAAGCTGTTCTCTGGAAGAGCAAATGTGACACTTGTGCTGGCGAGATCTTATGAAGTGACAAATAATTAGGGCTGTGCCTTGTGTGGGTTCCTCCCTCCCCCCCGTTCTGTGTATTGTTCAAATTCTGCATGATCTGTTTGCTGATGGCTCTTCAATAAAAGCCTTTTTAAAAAAATTGTTTGCGGGACAAACTATTCAGAACACAGAATGCAGCTATCCTCTTGGATCAGCCTAAAGCTGATGCTGGGCTCAACAAGCCAGGTGCACTGGGCTTTCTGTCAGGCTTCCAGCACAGACAAACTGCCCTGTTTCATGAGACGGCATATTTGACATTAATAAATGGCCAGGGCAGTCCCCTCGTTTTCCAGCTTTGGCTTCATTCACACTGAAGCCCTTCAGAAAGGATCCTTTGCCGTTTAAAGGACAACTCCATTTCAGAAAGACTCAAGCAAGGCTGCTTCTCCCCAGACTCTTAAAACTGCAATTCTCTTGAAAAGTTTTCTCAGCTTTGTCGACGTGCCTGATAGTTGTGTATTTTCTGAAGGCACTGGTTGGCCTTTTCTGTTTCCAGTCTCCTCCCATCTTCCGGGAACAAAGCAAACCCAACACTGAAATTTTATCTTTTAAACCACTCCTCTGCATCTTCCTTCCAATAGACTTCCTGGCCTTCCCTCGCCTTGTGTGAAACATGGCATTTGTGTATAGAGTCTGCAATCTGAACCTCTCATGCTCTTGGGCAAGATAATTACTTAAGAGACTGCAGAGAACAAGACCAGAGAACTACGGCGGGATGAAAAGGAAGAGCTTCGTAGAATTTGCCTGAAATCTGTTGACTGAAACCTGTTGGCAGTCCCTTTTCCAATAGTTCCAATTTTTGGCACTCTCCTGTAAATACGCTCTAGTGTCTTGCTCGTGGTACTTTATAATGGCATGGTGGCCTTGAATTTTTCTGAAACGAATAAAAACGATTGTTTTCTAATAAAGTGAATTACAGTGAAGTTTTTAGAAATGCCATTGTATTTTCTTATGTATTAATTGATGTGCAGTAGTATCCTGGTTTTACTCCAAGGCAAAGGATGGAATTGGCAAGAGCAAATGTCAGTTTGGGGATCACCACTGGCTGGTAACTGCCAGCGAGAGCCTGGTCCAGCTGCTCCCGCTGATGGCTCAGGGGGCTGCTCCCAGTGCAAACGCTGGGAAAAACCCTGCTACGTGGTGTGGAGCCGGACGGCGGGATAGTCACGCAACGGGCTGCGAGTGGTCCCAGTCAGCAGCCCCTCTATGTAGCAATATCAAATGATCAGCTTGGGTCTCCTCCTCTCTCTCCCCTGCCAGCGAAGTCACTGTCGCAGGAAGCAGCTGCTGCTTTGTTGTCCAGAAAACATTTTGTAGTTTCAGTCAGAATAAGTGATCTAAACTGTTGTTCCTCTTTTGTTCCTCCCCCCAGTAAGCAGAAAAAAAATTGGCTGTAATGAAACTTTAAAAAAACAACCCTGCTTTTTTGAATTTTGAGAAATTGCATTTAAAAACAAACTGTTCAGTGTTTTGTGGCTTTTGGTGTGTTTGGGGTCTTTTGTTTGTTTGTTTTTGTATTAAATTTTACTGTTCTATTCAGGTTGTGTCTGCGAGACTCGGATTCCAGTGCCCTTTGGATCAGGTTCTTCCTACTTGGACCAGCTTATGAATTGGGTGACTGGCTCTCTGTTGATTTTAATTGTGCTTCCTTTTTACTGCTTTTTCCCTCAAGTTCAGTAGTTGAAACTTCAGATCTTACCTTAAGCATGTAGACTTCATCTTAAAATCCCTGTACACGTGTCTGCACCCTACCTGGGGACTGTCTGTGGTGTCTGGCTCCCTCACATCGATGTTGGCTCTCCAGCTTGTTTCGTGCTGGTGGGAACAAAGAGGCCATGGGAAATGGCTGGTTTCTCTTCCCGGGTATGTGATGATGGGCCAGACTTCTTCTGAGGCCTACGCATGTCCTTGGCACGTGTTGGGAATGACCGGAATTTAAAAATGTACATTTCCTGCTCACTGGGGAAAAAGCAGAAGGAAAAAGAATGAATGATTTGGTCAAAGCATGAATCTTACTGGTGAAACTAGAGTGTGTATCAATAAGAATGCAGTGAAATAATGAAACGTGAGTTTCCAGAACCAGATTTTGTTTTGCAAGGACATGGATTTTTATACGTTGGCAGATTTGGAGTTCTGCAAATAACGTTGTCTGGTTTGTGCTTGACTCCGGTGGAGCGGGAGGAGAGCTGGTCAGGGCAACCCTCGAGCTGCGCACACACACGCAGCCGTCGCGGCGTCGGGTGCTGAGGAGTCTGCTGTCGCTTGGCAGTTTCTTGTGGCAGAGGTTTCGCTGCCCAGGGAGGAGCAGCTGTATGAACTGGTGGTTCTCCACGGGTGACCATGCTGAATGCAGTCGAGCTAGCTATAGTGGGGGAAAAAACAAGCAAGACTTGACGCTGTCTCCCATAACACGTGCTGCTGGCTTATGGTTAACCTGTTGTCTGCCTGCACTCCCAGGTCCCTCTCCTCAGAGCTGCTCTCCAGCAGGTCCGCCCCAGCCTGTACTGATGCATGGGGTTGTTCCTGCCCAGGTGCAGGACCCTGCACTTGCCCTTGTTGAACTTCATCAGGTTCCTCTCTGCCCAACTCTGCAGCCTGTCCAGGGGTTACTACTGTAGCCTCAAGATTCTTTATAATTCAGCCTCTCTGTGTGGTTTTAAACCAAAGCCTCAGTCTTAAACAAATAACTTTACATATCCAGCTTCTTTAAGAGTGTCCATGTTAAAAACCTAAAATGGTCTGTTTTAGCAGAAAATGTGTGTTACCGTGTGTTACCTGAGCAGCGAAGGAATGGCAGAAGAAGATCTGAACTGAGGCTGACATGTGGGATACATTCATGGTTCTTAAGTGCTTTTCAAAGTTACCCTTCCGATTTTTAAAAATAAAAAAGCCCTTACTTTATCATTTTAAAGACGCTGGACATCTGATTGCAGCTTCCGCTGACATCAGCAGACTTGTGCTCCTGCCTTATCTTGGCTCCCCGATGTCACAGCGCTGCCTCCAGGAGCAGAGACGTGAGCACTGAAGCCCCAGGTCAGCCTTTCATCCCCCGCCCAGCTCATTTTCACTGGCAAATCTAAAAGTGTTTGATCCACGTCCTTTAGGGCAGTTTCCTTCTCTTTGTCCTTCCCGTAACACAAGCCCAATAAAGAAATCGCTTTATAGCATTAGTCCTATTGCGAACAGCTAATTGTGTTGCTACTCTGAGCCTCGCCGGCGTGGGGACCTGCTCCGTGCCCTCGGCAGCCCCGCGCTGGAGGCCCCCCGGTCCCGGGGCACGGTGTGGAGACGGCAAATGCCCGCAGCCTTTGAGAAGAGCGAGAGCGTGCTCCTCCCATATTTGTGCTCTCCAAGGCAGCAATAAACTACGCCAGCCGTTGCTTGTCTTGCAGTCGGGTTTTGGGTGCCAGATGCAAACATCTGGGTGCCCGCTGGCTGTTGGGGTGCTTTGGGTCTAACGTGTGGGCATCTCCGTACCGGAAAATGTATTTTCTTTTGCCCTCAGTGCTGTATCCGAGTGTTTCCTTGGTGGGGAGCGAGGGCTCCTTTGCGGGGGGGGG